CCCAGGACTCAAGACTAGACCTGGATACTCCAACTTTTGCTTGGGTTTCTCCAGATGGGATTTGTACCAAAACATAAAATGATAGCTCAAAATACTCTCTCTATAAGGAAGTGGGGCCTCCTTTTTTAAGTTTGGAACTTTTTTTTCAAGCAAAATTTTATGCAAAGCCAAAGATATACAACAGATCAAAGTGAAAATCACTTACCTCAGTATAGTAATTGCCTTAAAAGAGCTATACGTCTAATCAGAGGTAACTTAATATTTCAAGTCTTGTTCATGGTTGGAAGCTGCTAGAAGGAACTGTTTGTCTATTCTACTATGTTTTGGTTGGTCATATAGTTCTATAGCGGGAGTTCCTGGTTTAATGTGAGTAACTAAATGCAAGGGTGTGTGTGTGTGAAGCAACAACTACGTTTTATAATGGTAAAACATTTCTTGGCAGCTTTATTTTTACTGTTTTATGCAACATGGACCTTAAGTGTAGTGGTGCCAAAGGAAATGGCCCAGGACCATGTAGGCCAGGACAGACATAAGCTCTGGAAAGGCCATCTAACACCCTTCCTTTCATTAACATGCTTACTGGATTGCTTATCCACAGCCAGGCCCAAGGTTATGGCTGGGAACGAAGAGATACTGTGGGGGTAGTGACAAAGCTTCAGAGCCAGCATGAAGCTTCAGCGATAGGCACAGGTTTAAACACTATGGATGTTTCTAGCTCTCAGTTCTAACCATCAAGGCCTTGCTCTCTCTCTCTCTCTTTTTTTTTTTTTTTAAATATATTTTATTGATTTTGTACAGAGAGGAAGGGAGAGAGATAGAGAGCTAGAAACATCAATGAGAGAGAGTCATCAATCAGCTGCCTCTTGCACACCCCCCACCGGGGACATGCCCACAACCAAGGTACATGCCCTTGACCGGAATCGAAACTGGGACCCTTCAGTCCCCAAGCTGACGCTTTATCCATTGAGCCAAACTGGTCCCGGCTAGGCCTTGCTCTCTTTTGTTCCAGCCATATGCGTCAACAAAATTTCCTGGACATCTCTGTAGGATTACCTCTCGTTCCTGCATGCTTTAGCATCTTGTATCTGTTTGCCCATAATGCTCAGCTTCTCCTCTTGTGCCCTACCTGTTAGCTCCTACTCATCCTTCAAGTCTCCACTGGGGGGCAATCTTCTGACTCCTCCCCATGACAGACTCTCAGTCATTTTCCTTCACAGCACATGTCACAATTATGACTGCATAGTTATTTGCTAGTGGAAAAAATGAGTTAAAGCAACATTCTAATCCAGAAAACATGGCTTTAAAAAGTATTCCTGCCGGGACCGGTTTAGCTCAATGGATAGAGCGTCGGCTTGGGGACTGAAGGGCCCCGGGTTCGATTCCGGTCAAGGGCATGTACCTTGGTTGCGGGCATATCCCCAGTAGGGGGTGTGCAAGAGGCAGCTGATCAATGACTCTCTCTCATTGATGTTTCTAACTCTCTATCTCTCTCCCTTCCTCTCTGTACAAAAATCAATAAAATATATATTTTAAAAAAAAGTATTCCTTAAATGTTTTGATAACATATTACTGATAAAAGCTATTTGAGCTTGTTTTAATAAATTTTTTCCTATTCATAAAAGGCATAAAATTATGCTAATATACTTCAGGTAAAAAAAAACACACCATGGTTTATTTATAATCTGAAGACTCTAACACACATCACTACCTGCAGGGGTTAATGTGAGGTGGGGGTGCTAGGGGGAGAACCTGCCTCTGAAGACTTTCTCTGTATGCTCCGACAATGACGTAAATGCCTGTGGGAACTCCATGCATGCGTTTCTGAACAAACGGGTGGTCAAGGTAGTGCCATGACCAGGAGACACAAGGCACACTGAGGCTGCCAGAGGAGCCCATTAGAGATAAGGTGAACAACAACAAAAGGCTAGATGTCTTACCTAAAATAGCAGATTTTTCCACTTCAAGCATATCCAGAGCCTTTGTGAAAGGCTCTACCATTTTGGCTAGCATTTCTGGTGCATATAAAGTATTGTGAGTTCTAAAAGAAAAAAAAAGATGTTATGTGAACTTTTCCTAGTCTGTTGCAGAAGGCAAGAGTGGGTTTCACCTCGTAATTCAGTTACACTCCCACATAGACAGATCTCCCTGTCACCACTACTCCTAGCAGGGGGAAGAAAACACAGTATAAACATTTAAATGCTTCCCTGGAAAAGAGCACAGACTTTACGCTATTAAGTGCAGCTGAATAGTATACAACCTAAAAGCAATCAAGATGAAAACCAAATCCTGAGATAGCTAGACAATATCACAGGGCTAGAAAGCGAAATTCTTTTAAACTTGAGACTGTGCCGTGGCACTCCATCTTCTGATGCCAGTGACACAGGATGAAGTGTCAGAGGCATGTGGATGCACAGGGAGAACACAGTGAATGGGAATACGCTCCCTTTTTCCAAATGTTGTCTCCATTCCAAGAAGTGGACCCTGCAATGTTCTGATGCTCTGGAGGAATGTCCAGTTCCCAAAATGTGTGCCTGTTTCCCACCAAAATGACTTACCTGAGCAGTTACTGGTTTTGGATGACTAAGCAGGAATTACTGTGGACCTGATCTGCCTGCCATCTACAGTTACTAAAAAGCATAACTACCTATTTTTTCTTTTAAAAGTTAATTATAAAACATCCAGAAAGCTACAAAATATAACAGGTAGTAGCAAGGTTACATATTTAAGATGCACCCTGACCAGATAGATCCTTTTAGACCATGCTTATTAAAAAACACAATCCTCAACATTGTTTTTAAAATCTAACTATGTACACTTGTTAGTACACTCACTTAAACTGCATTTTAGAATGTCATTTAATACATAACTTCCAGGTTATTGCCCGTCTTCCTACTAAAAGCTAATGAGATTGTCTCCAGTTTTTTGCTTATAGAGAGCCCAGCAATAAGCTTCTCTGAAGAGGTCTCCCTGTGTACATGTGACAGTTTCTCTGTGGTGGATTTAAACAGGTAGAATTACTGGAAACTGGTCCTTTGCAACTCATGGTTTGCAAATATCTTCTCCCAGTCTGTGGCCTGACTTGCTTACACTAACATTTGCATTAGGCTTTACTTTTTTTCTTGTGGAAAATACATATAAAATTTGCCATTTTAAGTGTTCAGTTTAAGTGGTATAAATACACTCACACTGTGGTGCAACCATCACCACCATCCATCCCCATAAGTATTTTCATCTTGTAAAACAAACTATACATATCAAGCAAAAACTCCCCATTCCTCCCTTCCCTGAGCTCCTGGCAACCACTATTACACTTTGTTTTTATGATTTTGACTACGTCAGGTACTTCATACAAGTGAAATCATATAATAAGTGAACAAAAATGGAGCTACTTGGCAAGCCTGACAAGATCAGTGACTGAAAGTAACCACAGGATGTTTTGATCATGTAAAAATTCCTAACTGAACAGATTATAATGGAAATAAGTCATGTCTTAAGGCCTATATATACAATAGATTAATCTCTATCTGGAGCAAGTTCTGTCCATTGTTTTTGTCCAAGAATAATATACATAAAATGTCAAGATGATCTCTTCTACAAACCTCTAAGGATAAATACCCCAGTATGGTCAGACAACCCCAACATTCTTCATTATTATCTTTTATCTGCATACCTCTGTCAACTATGAATGTTAAATGTTAAGTATCCTGCACCTATCAATGTAAAAGAAGCATGTATCTCTCCACTTTACTTTGCATCCAACCCTAGAGATTTCTCTTGCTTTACTTTCTCCGCCCTTAACTCGCCACTAATGGATTTCATGTAACCTTCCTGTCTTCTCCTTTGATTCTAATGTATAAAATAAACTGCAAAACTGCTACTCCTTGGAGCATTATATCTAATTCTTTTGAGATTTTGCTTTCCCGACTAGCCCCAAAACCTTGGCTCAAATAAACACTCTAAACCTTTCTTTAGGTTTGAATGTCTTTCAACAATTATTTGTCTTTTTATGACTGGCTTATTTCACTTAGCATAATGTCCTTAAGGCTTGTCCATGTTGTAGCATATTAAAGAATTTTCTTCATTTTACTTATTTAAATATACTTTTATTGATTTCAGAGAGAAAGGGAAAGAGAGACAGAATCATTAATGAGAGAGAATCGATTGGCTGCCTCCTGCACACCCCACATAAGGGATCAAGCCACAATCTGGGCATGTGCCCTGACCGGGAATCAAACTGTGACCTTCTGGTTCATGGGTCGATGCTCAATCACTGAACCACAGTGGCTGGGCAGAATTTTCTTCTATAAATATCTTTTAAGACACCCTACATTAGAAATGTGATTCACAAATATTTCTCCCATTCTGTAGGTTGCCTTTTTATTCTGTGGAATAATGTCTTTTAATGCACAAAATTTTAAGTTTCCAGGAAATCCAATTTATTTTTTTATTACTTGTGCCTTTGGTATCATATCCAAGAAATATTTGCAAATCCACTGTGAAGCTTTTATTCTATGATTTTATTTATTTATTTATTTATTATTTTTTTAAATAAATTTTTCATTTTTCATATTATTACAATTGTTTCTCCCCCCTCTCCCCCCCACATAGCTCTCTTCCACCTGGTTCCCACTCCACCCTCTGCCCTTACTGCCCCCCCCCCCATATTATTATGTTTTATAATTAACTTTAAAAAAAAAATAGGTGGTTATGCTCTTTAGTAACTGTAGATGGCAGGCAGATTAGGTCCACAGTAATTCCCATACCCCCCCCACAGATACCCCTTTCCCCCTGAGAATTATCAATCCTCTCCCATTCTATGCTCCTGATTCTACTATATTTACCAGTTTATTCTGTTGCTCAGATTTTTAATTCATTTGACTTTTATTTTATTATTTCTTTTTTAAAAATATATTTTATTGATTTTTATTTTTATTTATTTATTTATTTTTACAGAGAGGAAGAGAGATAGTTAGAAACATCGATGAGAGAGAAACACCCATCAGCTGCCTCTTGCACACCCCACCACTGGGGATGTGCCCACAACCAAGGTATGTGCCCTTGACCGGAATCGAACCTGGGACCTCTCAGTCTGCAGGCTAAGCTCTATCCAATGAGGCAAACCGATTTTGGCAGCAGAGGTTTTATCACGAGAGGATGGTAGACTTTGTCAAATGCCTTTGCTGTGTCAATTAAGGTGACCACATGGTTTTTTTCTATTAATATGGTATATTACATTTATTTATTTTTCTATGTTGAACCACTCTTATATCCCCAGGATAAATCCAACTTGGTCATAGTGTCTAATCCTTAACAGGCTGATGGCTTCAGTCAGCTTGTATTCTATGAGATTGTCCACAACTCTTCCTTAGCCTTTACCACCTGCTGTGTGGAGCCTAAGAATAGGTAACAGGTGCCATTTATTTAACCCTCACCTGAGTATGTTTTTTTCATTGATTTTTTCAGAAAGGGGGGTGGGGGAGGGAATTGACATGCGACACATCAATTGGCTGCCTCTGGCTTGCGTCCCAACTGGGCTGGAGATGGAACCTGCAATCAAGGTATATGCCCTTTGGTTTGCGGGCTCTCTAATCACTGACTCTCTAACCAAAATCAGCCAGGGCACCATTTACTTTTAAAAGCTGCAATGAGCCATCATTTTAGTTTCTGAATTAAGTTTTATTTGGAAGATGCCTGATACTATAAAATGATCTCTGATAATATCAGTTTCCTGAAGAAATTCAGTCTTAACTTTGACAGAAAGCTGATGGGCTGTTTTTTATTCTTTAAAGTGTGGTGTGATCCCAAGAGAAAATTTAGAAAACAGAGGGTTAATGCATTATATGTCAAATGTCCCTGGAGCTACAACAGAATCTTGTATTCCTTGTATTCTCCTCCTCCTCAAGAGGTGATAGCAACATATTATAGTAGCCGCACCTCTAAAGCACAAGCAGAGGACAACTCAGAGTACATACTGCTCTGATATCCCTGACTCCAGTAGTTGTTCATAGGCAGGGGCATCTACAAAACCTAGTAATATTCAGGCTTCTGAACTATCACCTTTCCTGATACACATGCAAGTTAGAGCTCTGTGGTTCCACATTAAGAGGGACTAGTTACTGCTTGGCAAATAAAAAGACAATTAGGTAATAAAAGTTTTAACTTCTGGACAATCTGTACTTATCTGAAATACAGGAGTGGGCAAAAGTAGGCTTACAGTTGCAATACAAATAAATAATACAATATATACTAATCCTATCTAATAAAAGAGTAATATGCAAGTTGGCCATACCTCTGTTACACCCACAAGCCACAATTACCAGCCAATCAGTAGTAAGTATGCAAATTAACCCAACTAAGATGGCTGTGGGCACAGAAAGAGCAGGAGGCCTGGGTTTCCCCGGCAATGGAAGAAGCCAAAATTTCCTCCTGCCTTGGCCTCTGCTTAAGGATACAAAGTTTTAATTATAGAAGATAAATAATTCCCAACAAAAATGGCAGCAGCCACAGAGCTGGAGAGAGCAGGAGGTTTGAGTTGCCCCCGGTGATGGAGGAAGCCAAGTTTCTGCAGCCCTGGCCTGCCTTGGCCTCCACTTAAGGCTACAAAGTTTCAATTACAGATGATAAATAAACCCCAGATACCAGGGCCTCCCCTTGGATCACCGGGGGGCGTGGCAAGCCTGCAAACCACTACAGGCCCCTCACCCAGGCCGCCCCACACAAGGGAAACCCACCCTGATCTGTGACACCTTTCAGGGCAAACCAGCTGACCCCCACCCGTGCACCAGTCCTCTATCCTATCTAATAAAAGAATAATATGCATATTGACTGTCATTCCAACACACAAGATGGCTGCCCCCATGTGGACACAAGATGGCCACCACAAGATGGCCAGCAGGGGAGGGCAATTGGGAGGATCAGGCCAGCAGGGGAAGGCAATTGGGGGTGATCAGGACAGTAGGGGAAGGCATTTAGGGGTGACCAGGCCTGCAGTTAGGGGCAAACAGGCTGGCAGAAGAGCAGTTAGGCATCAATCAGGCTGGCAAGGGAGTGGTTAGGGGGTGATCAGGCTGGTAAGCAGAAGTGGTTAGGGGCAATGAGGAAGGCAGGCAGGTGAGCAGTTGGGAGCCAGCAGTCCTGGATTGGGAGAGAGATATCTGACTGCTGATTTGGGCCTGATCCTACCTGGATCGGGCCTAAACAGGCAGTTGGACATCTCTCAAGGGGTCCCAGATTGGAGAAGATGCAGGTTAGGCTGAGGCACACCCCCTGCCCTGTGCACAAATTTTGTGCACCGGGGCCTCTAGTAAGAGGATAATATCCTAATTAGACCAGATAGACCAGACATCTTCCAGCAAAGCTGCAGCAGCTGTGAGGGCCAAGGAGGACTGGCAGCCTTGGCAGCCTGCAGTGGCAGCAGCAGCGGAGTAATGGGGACAGCGCCTTCCCCTGATTGCCTGGTTGCTTCCTGCAGAGTAGGGGTGTCGAACTCAATCAGAGAAGGGGCCAAAATCTAAAATCCAGCCTAAATCGCGGGCCGAATGGTTTACTGAACAGTCATAAACTGTCATTGTGATGGAAACGCAGCGGAGTGCAGTGATGACAGCGCAGTGCGGGCCACATTGCAAGGCCTGGCGGGACGGATTTGGCCCTCGGGCCTTGTGTTTGACACATGTGCTGCAGAGGGAGGCCAGACTGTGGCTTAGGCCTGCTCCCTGCAGAGAGCAAGCCATCAGTAGGACATCTCCTGAGGGTTCCTGGACTGTGAGATGGGGCAGGCCGGGCTGAGGGACCCCTTCCCCCCAGTGCATGAATTTTCATGCACAGGGTCTCTAGTAATTAATAAATAATAATACAAGAATAACCTTAGCTGGTTTCACTCAGTGGATAGAGCATCGGCCTGCGGACTAAAGGGTCCTAGGCTGATTCCAGTTGAGGGCACATGCTTGGGTTGTAGGCTCGATCTCCAGAGTGTGCAGGAGGCAGCCAATCAATGATTCTCATCATTGATGTTACTATCTTTCCCTCTCCCTTCTCTGAAATCAATAAAAATATATTAAAAAAATAAAACAAAATAAACTTTTTTGAGTACTTAAAACTGTAAACCTACTTTTGCCAACCCCTGTATTTTAAAAAATATATATTTTATTGATTTTTTACAGAGAGGAGGAGGGACAGAGAGTCAGAAACATCAACAAGAAACACCGATCAGCTGCCTCCTGCACACCCCCCACTGGGGATGTGCCCACAATCAAGGTACGTGCCTTTGACTGGAATCGAATCTGGGACCCTTCAGTCCACAAGCCAACGCTCTATCCACTGAGCCAAACCGGTTTTGGCAACTCCTGTATTTTTAGTATCACCAGCTATGAGTATAATCCCTGCCACATAAGCCTTCACACACATAAAGATTTCAGCAGGACATACAAAAGATATACAGAAACAACGTAACAAATTTTAAGTTAGCAGAAAAGCTGCTATTCTAAACAGATAATGATGACAATGCACCTTTTAAGAACTAGAGTTCTGCTCCTCATATTTGTCCTCTATCCAACCCACTAGAAACAACATTGTCCAACAGAAATACAATGTAAACCACTACAAATTTTCTAGCCAGCCAAACTTAAAAAGGGAAAAGAAACAGGTTAAATTAACATTTTATTTAAAACAATGCATCAAAAAAAATTTTCAACATGTTAACATTAAAAATTATTAACAAGCTATTTTACACTTTTTTTTGCAATAAGTTTTCAAAATCTGGTGTGTATTTTATACTTACCGTACAGCTTATCTCAAATCAAACTAGCCACATTTTAAATGCTCAATAGCTAATTATAACAGTGGCTAACATAGTAGATAGCATAGCTCTAACACCATTTTTGTTGTTGTTGTTTTTTGTTTTGTTAATCCTCACGTGGGGATATTTTTTCCATTGATTTTTATAAAAGGGATGAAAGCTAATTCATTTTTTAAAAATGTATTTTATTGATTTTTTACAAAGAGGAAAGGAGAGAGATAGAGAGCTAGAAACGTCGATGAGAGAGAAACATCGGCCAGCTGCCTCTTGCACACTCCCCACCGGGGATATGCCCACAACCAATGTACATGCCCTTGACCGGAATCGAACCTGGGACCTTTCAGTCTGCAGACCGATGCTCTACCACTGAACCAAACCGGTTTCGGCTCCATTGATTTTTAAAGAGAGTGGTAGGAAGGGGAATGCAGAGAGAGAGAGAGAAACATTGATGTGAGAGAGACACATCAATTGTTTGCCTCTGCACACATCCCAACCAGGGACTGGGGTTGAGCCTGCAACTGAGGTACGATTTCTTGTCCAGAATTGAACCCACGACATTTTTTTGATTATCATACTATTTGACAAGGAGTTAAAACACCCAACTCTAACGGGTGGAAATGCAAATTGTAAATTAATTAATATACTACTTGAGAAAACTATCTGGTTCTATCAATGTAAACAAAATATGCATACCTTATAAAGTAGGAATTCTACTCTTACGTGCAGGATTCAACAGAAATTATGTGTACACCACAAGATATTTACAAGAATGTTAATAGCAGCATTGTTTGTAATAAGAAAACACTAGAAACTACCCCAAAGTCCATCAACACTAACCAGATAAGTTTCAACATATTCACACAATGAATACCACACAAGCAATGAGAATGTACAATACCACAGTTACTCTACAAACGTAATATTGAGCAAGAGAAGCCCAACAAGAAGCAGATGCTTCTGACTCCATTTATTAAAGCTAAAACCATCAGGCAAAACATTAAAGGTCAGAATGAGGGGTACCCTTGAAAGGCAGGTAATGATTTGAAAAGTTGTTGGATAAGGTTGTTTCTTGATCTGATTGCTGATTATATGTGTGTATCTTGTGAAAATCCACCTACGTGCACTCTTAATTTGTGCCCTTTAATTATATACATATTTTGTCCTTATGTTATACTTCAAAATAAAATTTACTACAAAAACAAGATAAAACTCTAACAGCTCCAGTTGCACACTACTCAAGGAACCTAAATGCTCCTTAATTACAGTTAATATTTTCAAAAATACCTTCTGACTGACTTCCCAAAAGCACCGAACTCTGAGAAAAACATCAAGGTGACAAGCATGCTGTTCTTGTGCCTCCTCATCCAACCAAGAAAGAACTGTTCCAGGTGTGGGCTCTCACCACATGGCCTCTGGCCACAGCCCTAAAAAGGTGCTGGGTCTTTGATTCTGTTGCTTCTGATTTCATCACTTTCATATTTCTATAAGCCAAAGAAGAACCTTTTGGTTTTAAAAACATCAGTATGGAAGCAAACCTTTCCTTGACTATTTTACTGCCCTCTCAACATGCAAGCCATACTTCTTTACAGAAATCTCTTTTCTCCTTTTGAAATCAGAACAGAATATTGCCTATTTCCATAGACACATCCACAATGACAACTCTTTCAGACACTCCTCTTTAAACCATGGTCAACAAGCTCTTTAAATCTTTGATTCTTAAGTTTATGGTCTAAGCTGTCAGTTGCCAGCAGAGCATCCCTGAGACATGAGTAATTTGTTTTGCTCAGTTGGGACTCCATTCTTACACCTTGTATCAGAGGCCAAAGAGCATTGTAACAGCTCTAACCTGTAACTCAGGAGTACTGAGATGTAAGCATCAAAATTAGCTTTGGCTAATTAAATCTGAATTCTACCCAAAGCCTATCTTTCTCTGTGAAGAGCATCTCTGAATCACCAACAGACATCCCTGCACAATTACTTCCCAGGCAGGTGTCCTGACCGGGAATCAAACCAGCGACCTTTTGGTGCATGGGACAACACTCAAACCAACTGACCCACACTGGCCAGGGCGATTCTGAAACTTTAATGTGTATAAGAACCACCTTGGAATCTTGTTATAATACAGATTCTGATTTAATATGTCTGTGGTGGGACCCCAGTCTGCATTTCAAACAAGCTGATGCTGCCAGTTTAAGGACCTAGTTTTGAAAAATAAACACCTAGAAGGGAGGTGGAACATGTATCATGCCTTCCTTTGGCATGATCAGCCACTGGGTGTTTGGTCCATTTGCTATCAAGAGTCATTGCTGATAAATTCAGATTAGCTCAAAAATTTAGAGCAAATAAAACTTAGCAAGTTTAAAAGTATTGATGAGGAATAAAAAAGTAGAAGAATACAGAGGAGGTTCAAATTGAGAAAAGCCATTTTGGAATTAGCACCATGTGTTCATGTGGAATGTAAGACAATGCAAGTGAGCTAATGTTATTATTATTTCTTTTATTCTCACCTGAGGATATATTTTTATTGAGAGAGAGGGAGAGAGAGAAAGAGAGAGAGAGGGAGAAAGCAGGGGGAGGGGGGGAGGAAAGGAGGGAAGGAGAGGGAAGAGAAAGATGGATCAGTTGCCTCCTGTATGCACCCCAATCGGGACGAAATCTGCAACCTAGATATGTGCCCTGTCTGGGAATGGAACCTGCAACCTTTTGATGTACAGGACGATGCTCTAACCAACTGAGCCGCCTGGTCAGGGCAGAACTAATGTTATTTTTTAAAATAAAGGCCATGCTGGCTGGGTAGCTCAGTTGGCTAGAGACATCATCCCGATATACCAAGGTTGCAAGTTCAATCCCCAGTCAGGGCACATGACAACCATCAACAAATGAGTGCGTAAACAGGTAGAACAACAAATCAGTGTTTCTATCTCTGTCTCATAAATACATACTAAAAAAAAAAAAAAAAAAAAAGACACCCCCTCCCCCCCAGAAAGAAACATATCCTAATTTACTACCACCATGATCTGAAGAAATAAAACAGGTTCAACTTTCTAAGATTCTTAAGGTAAAAAAACAACAACAAAAAACGTAAAAACACTATTCCGACTCACCTTACAAGGGAAAGCAAATTGTCAAGAAGTTTCAGAATCTGTTCTGTGCAGGGGTTACGAAAGATTGGATTTCCAGTGGGCGAATAACCCACTACAAATCCCCCAGCTTTGGCCTCTTCAAGGTCAGTGGGCCAGCAAGTTCGTTTCACAACACCCAGAATGCTATACACACAAAAGCTCATCTACAGAAAAACAAAAATGAAAGGTAAACATATAAGGGGAAAAGACAAAAGTGCTATTAGATATTTGCAAGGTTATGGCAAAAGTGATACAGAGACCTGAGAGAAGGAAAAGACTCCTGCCACCAATCTCTCTTTTTTAATCCTTACCCGAGAATATTTTTCCATTGGTTTCCAGAGAGTGGAAGGGAGAGAGGAGGAAGAAAGAGAGAGAGAAACATCGACATGAGAGAGACACATTGGTTGCGTCCCGCACACGCTTCTACCAGGGCTAGAGAACCTGCAACCTAGGTACATGCACTTGACTGGGAAATCGAACCCACGACGCTTCAGTTCACAGGCTGACATTCTAACCACTGAGCAACAGGACAGGGCTCTTCTTTTCAGGTCAAGACCTTCCACTGTCATCTTCAAGAGCAGTGGTAGGCTCTAGAAACTCCCTTTCCCTCAGGATGTCCTTCCAAAGGCCAAAATCCTCTCCCAGGACCCCAATGAGGTGGTGGCTTGGACATGCTTCAAAATAAAGTATTTAGACAGGCAACAAACATTTCATCTTGTTTTTGAATTGACCCAGCACCCTTCAGCTTAAGCCTTGACAGCTTTTGCCCTAATTCCCACTCACAGTACTCTCAACCAATCTATTAATTGCCGGGTTAATTAATACAACTTTTGTCATAATGAAGCCAAGGAAAATGCTTATTTGATTAGCAAAGAACTGAAAAATCTCAGGTTTGCAAATTAGCCTATTTAGGACTTTACATGCTAGAGAGCGATGGCAGGAAGGATTCACCCTGCTGACCTACTTCTTCATTATACTTTCAATCTTCAGAGCTATTTAGAGATCCTTAAAGCCAAAATAATGACTTCATAGAAAAGACCATCTTGTGCTCACTTCAGCAGCACATATACTAAACTTGGGCCCCCCACACCCCCCCCCCCCCCCCCCCGCAAAAAAAAAAAAGAAAAGTGAAGAAAAGAAAAGACCATCTTGTTCTGGCTGGTTTAGCTTGGTTGACTGAAGCATCATCCCATGCACAGAAGGGTCATGGTTCGATTCCTGGTCAGGCACACACCCAGGTTGTGGGTTCAGTCCCCTGTCAAGGTATGTGTGGGAGGCAGCAGATCGATGTTTCTGTTTCTCTCTCCCTCCCTTCCTCTCTCTCTAAAAATCAATGAAAAAAAAAAATATTGCCAGTAAATAACATGTGACTAAAAACAGAAAGGAAGGATCTATCTGCTCTGCTGTGGAAACTGACTCAGGAATTCAAGACCAGCCCTGGCTGGTTTGGCTCAATGGATAGAGCACTGAAGGGTCGTGGGTTTGATTCTGGTCAAGGTCATGTTGCAGGCTCAATCCTAGGCCCTGGTCAAGGCATGTGCAGGAGGCAACCAATCAATGTGTCTCTCTTACAATGATGTTTCTCTCTCTGTCTCTTCCTCTCTGAAATCAATAAAAACATTTTTTTTTTTTAAAGAAAAGAAAAATATCCTTGGGTGAGGATTAACAAACAAACAAAAAAATCAATAAAAACATATTAAAAAAAAGAAAAAAAGAACTCAAGACAAAAGAAAACAGTAGCTTAGGAAAATGAATAGTCCCAGATTTTTAACCCAATAGAAAATATATAAACGACAACACTCCTACTCCTACCCATGGCCAATTCAACTTCCATTCCCAGAGGAGGTTTACTCACTCGTGCACGGTTTAAGCCACAGGAATCCTCCAGGCCAGGATCACAGCTTTTCCGATCTGCACCCACATAGGCAATAAATGCATCAACATCCGACAGCACTCTGCAGGATGGAAGGGGAGACAAGCTATACCATGACTTTAAGCAAGGAC